CACACACACACACACACACACACACACACACACACACACACACACACACACACACACACACACAGAGTTAAATTCGTATTGCCCAACTCTTGATCACATCACATTTTTAAAGGATGTGCAACTGCAGTTTATGTTGGCTTTAGCTATGAGAAATTTCAATGTGATTTGGGGATTTGGAAGTTCATTTTCCCTTTTTCCTTCTCTCCTGAGTTTCACCAAGGGCTTTAATTGTGTTAAAGTTTTAGCCTGAGGCAAAAAAATATATACATATTTTCTCACAATAAGACTTTATTCACTCCKGACCCACATTAAAGAACACTGACTAAAAGTGAGATTGTAAAGATAGTTTAGAACTTGTAAAGTTTGGTTCTGTGGATAGATAATGAGCAATTAGCTGTGATAGCTAGCTGCTTGGAGAAATTAGTCTAACTAAACTGACAAGGTGGTTGAATCTGAAACAATACAAATGTGGAATGCTATCTTCACCTGCAAGGCTCTGTGTTCAAATCTAAGTCAATATGGCCCCTAAGTCAAATCAAGTCTCAAAATTTTATGTTGTTTATTAAATGTTATTTTCTAAATGATTACACTGCTGTTGATTTAGCAGTGTAGATTTACAATATTTTTAATTTTTTACATGAAATTCTGTGGTTACTTGCAAACAGTGRCAGCACAAGCTAGCTTTGTAATAATCTTGGGGTGGCACACAAAAATCTAAAGTCACAGCGAGTGTAACATGCTTCTTGGCAATAAATCTTATACTGTTAAAAAAAAATCCTGTAAGTTTCGTATTTAGATGGTGCCACATTTTTAAGGAACATCATGCATTTGTAGGATGAGCAGTAGAGCTGAGTATGTGGGTTGTGCACATAAAAAAATTGCCAAATTATCTCTGCCATGACCAAACAACTTATTTTGATGTTTTGACAGTTTGAGCTTCTGGTAACCCCAAGTGCTGCCAGTCGGGTGCTCTCTATAAGATTTATTGCCAYGAAGCATTGTTACAGCACAGAAATAATCTACCAAACACAAGTTTCCTTACTTTTTGTGCTAAGTTAATATAGTATTAAAAACAGCTATATTTGAAGTTGAGAAATCATCTTTTGATAGATCTTCATGTTCATATTTTACCACTGATTTTATTAACTGAGACCAGCACAGTCGTGACTCAACTCCCTGAGAGGTGGTCACTGGCAGGGTCTTAAATCAGTTTAGTAAAAGCAGATGGTACAAAAACAAGCTCTTTTGGAAGCATTTTCTGAAAAAATGGGTGTTTCTTCTTTTACTTATTTTTCCCACAACCTCAAACTCTTCTTTCTCATGCATTTTCAGTAGATGCCATTGTCTTTATTCTCCTCTTGGTTGCTGTCTTCTCAGGCTCTGTCTGTGAGGAATAACAGGATTTCCAAAGTCCATCCCAAAGCATTTGCCCCTTTGAGGCACATGCAGAAGCTCTACTTTTCAAAGAATCTACTGACCACCATCCCCAAAAACTTGCCTTCTTCTCTGGTTGAGCTGAGGATCCATGAGAACCAAATCAAGAAGGTGGCAGCTGGAGCCTTCTCTGGACTGGGCAACATGCACTGCATAGGTTAGAAATGCTTATGACTTCATCAACTCAGGTGATATTCTGTGGTCACCACTCTACTGCGCTGGATTTAGTTGATTAAAAAGAGTACGTTTTCATTTGTTGCCACAAATGCTTTTATCTTGCAGAAATGGGAGCAAACCCCATCCAGAACAGTGGGTTTGAGCCAGGAGCTTTTAGGGGACTTAAACTGAATTATCTGCGTATATCTGAAGCCAAACTAACTGGAGTCCCAAAAGGTAGTGAGACATCAAAAAATACATATAACTGAGATATTCTTAGATTCTTCAGGATATAACTTTATTAACATGCAGTTCATGAAGTCAGCCAACAAATCTCAATGTTATTAAATTGTATATCATTCTGTTTGGAGTTTTTTATTTTTACTTTTTGCCATTTACCTGATAGAAAAACTTACAAGTCATGAAAGAAATGAACTGTTTAGGTAGCATTTTACAGAGTTTTGTCCTAGCGTAAAGGCTCACAGGTTTTGTGTCTGATTTTTAGATCTCCCAGAGAGTCTCCATGAGCTTCATCTGGACCACAATCAAATCCAGGCTGTGGAACTGGAGGACCTGAGCCGCTACAAAAACCTCTTCAGGTCTGCTTTAACATGTCATTTTGGACATTTTTGCATACCTTTGAAGTATTACATACAAACCATTTCCTTTTTTAACACACTAGCAAAGTTTTTTTTAGTATTAGTGCAATTGGTTACATCCTTTAAAGAAAATGCACAATACATAAATAACCTTTAGCCTCTTGTCCACCAGGGGAATGTCTGCAAGGTTAAATGTGCAAAAGTTACGTTAGCCTTAGTAATAATAAGCAAATAGTTTTGGAAGTGTCCTGATGCATCTCAGTAAACCAGGTAAAAAAATCAAAAACAAAATTAAGTAGGTCCTCTGGACGGGTTATTCTTTAATGAAGCATTTTGTCTGTCCTCCAAGAGACTTCTTCAGTCTGAGGAGTTTCAGGTGAACTAACCCTTATAAGTTATATAGTTCAGGAAGCAGTTTTATTCTTACATGGCTGATGGGTCTTTGGTTTTTTTTTATTTATTTTTTTAGATTTTAGGTGTTAATTTAAAATGTTGCTATTCTAGGCTAATAATGTCTGCTTTCTTTGATAGAGCAGTTAATTACACAACATACAATCTGAATTTCCACCATTCATCAGGTGAATATTTAAATGACTGAATAAAAAAATCACATTTTATTCTTGTGACATTTAAACTTTAATCAGACAGAGCATTATAATATAATTTGAATCTGAAGTTTGTGAATATTTCTAGTTTATAGCAGAGGAAAAAAGCAAAAACAGGCAAGATTTTCATTTTTCTGAGGTACAGTGAATGCAGCATTATGAAAAAATAATGAAGATGCTCTATGAGGTCAAACAGAAGGTGTTTAAAATTATACAGAGACAAGATGGGGTATTTTTTTCAATCTTTGAAGTTTGTAAAAATGAACATTGGTCCAATGCGTAGCAGCTGACAGAATGAAATGTTTAGGAAAAATATTTACTTTATTATCTTTTCTCCCTAAATGGGTTGAAAGATTAATTTAAATTTACAAAAAAAGGTGATGTTTTTTGGTTGTACTTCTTCAGCTCAATCTAAATAATGTCATCAACTCAAGTGTGGAAAATGAAAATCCATGTTAATGCTAGTAATGACTATTTTGATCAAATGTCTAGCATTCATTTTATGATCTGAAAAGGCTTTAATAGCTCTCAAATGTCTAAATGTGTGCGGTGAAAACAACAACAACAAACAAACAAAAAAGCATCTCCTGAACTGCTGCTATTCATCATTTGTACACACTGAAATACCTGGATACTTGAATGATCAAGAAAACTGGGATTTGTTTATTTTTGAACAGACTGGGCCTCGGCTTCAACCACATTCGTAACATAGAGAACGGCAGCCTGTCATATCTGCCCATGCTGAGGGAGCTGCACCTGGACAACAACCGCCTCACACGTGTTCCCCAGGGCCTTCCAAGCATGAAGTACCTGCAGGTCAGTTCACYTCATTTTCAAGCAGTTAGAAACGTGCAGCTCCTTCCATTCTCACCTTCTTGTCTCTGCCCCTTCTTCTTTTTAAGGTGGTCTACCTCCACTCCAACAACATCAGTCACGTGGGCGTGGATGACTTCTGCCCTCGAGGGTTTGGGATGAAGAGGACGTTCTATAATGGCATCAGCCTGTTCGAAAACCCCGTCAACTACTGGGAGGTGCAGCCGGCGACGTTCCGCTGCGTGGGCGACCGCTTCGCCATTCAGTTTGGAAACTACAAAAAATAAAGACAGGGCGATGCTGAGCAATTATTAAATAAAAGGCAAAATTTAAAAAAAGGCAAGGGAAATACTGGTGATAGGGAGGCGGGAGCGAAGAAAATAATTTAAATCTTGAATAAAACTTGAGACATAGCAGAAAAAGGAGTTCACATTTGATATTTTGGAAACGTTTCTTTAGAGTGTTTTATTTTTTATTATTATTATTTTTTGTGTGGTGCGGCCGAGTGATGGAGAAAGACGGGAAATAAACTTGTTGAATAGAAAAAGGACTGAAACATTCAATCCCTTAACTTGAAGTGAGCAGTACTGCATCCGGTTTTACACTTTTCTTTTACCTTTTTTTTGTAAGTGAAGTTTTTTCCACCTGAAGCTGATAAAAATGAGGAGAACGTTTGAGGAGAGTGTTTGTCCCCCAAGCATTTGTCTATGTCAAAGTTCTGAAAATTGTGGAGCCTTTTATTCCAGTTTCTCAAAATAGCTGTTCTTGTGATAAAAGTCATTATTCTGTTATTGTTGTTGTTTTGTTGAAAATTAAGAGTAAATRTAGAAAAGCAATACATTTTAGAACATTTTTATACAAAAATGATGCTTTATGACGTCCTGTGTGTGCTGACTTGATAAACACATCGCATTGTTCCTGTTTTTTGATCTGTTATTGATCTTTAGGTCCTGAAATCTCTGCATCTTTTCTAAGTTATCTGAGCAATACCATAACACAGTATGTCTTACGTGGAGACTGAGCTGGTGAGGCTCTYTCCCCAGACTTAATAAAGACTGAATTAACACACCTGCTTTACTTTGAGATAAGAAAAGCAGTGTGTCTGCACGGCGCAACACACAAAAGTAGTGTTGATGCAATGTTTTGCACAGATTTTCTGCTTTATCTGCTTTATGGTACAATATGGGGGGTTAGGGTGGTGAGTAGTGGCCTGTTTACAGTTGTAGACTTTGTGTGTAACTACTTTAACCATAAGTATTATGTCCTGTCTCTGTTCTGTAATCTGACAAGCTACAGCTGCATGTGAATAAAGACTTTTTTTAGCCTGCTGCATTCAGTGAGAAAACAACTGATGGACCCTCTTTGGTTGGAAGCTGTGTGAGAAATAAAGGAGAAAAACTGAAAACAGTTCACGAGTGAATCTTAAAACTATTTCAAAATTTAAAAAAAATGCTTTTAAGACATCAGCGGTCAGGTTGGCTGTCATATTGCTCCATGTTGGTGAAATTCAGTCAGGATTCATAGGGGAGTAAAAAAAGTGTTTATAAATGTTTTGTGTTCATTTTTATTTCTATGTATTTAAAGACAACTTTTATCTTAATATTTATCCTGCACAGCCTGTTGTGAAATTACTAGTTTTAGAAGATTTATCACTGTCCGTCATAATAACAAAAACAGAAAAGAGAATAACGTAAATTTACTTATTTAATAGGGGTGCAACGATACAGAAAATTCATGATTCGGTTCGGTTCGATACTTTAGTCTCACGGTTCGATATTTTTTCGATACAAAAAAAAAAAAGAAATGTCTATGCTCTTTTAACTTGAAATTTGTTTGTGATAAGTATGAACATTTGTTCAACCTCAAAAGTACAGTTTTTAAATTAAATGTTGCTGAAACAGCAAGTTTCTCAGTGGATTTGTGCTTGATAATGCAGCTGTGGTCGAACACAGATCAACTGATCCTTCAACACAGAGCATCTTCAGAAGACAAGTTGATAAAATAAATTTAAAAAAAATCAGTATTGTTCGATACATAGTGTTTATTGAGCCTAAAGCACTGWATTGAAGGGTTCGATACGGGTACAGGTATTGTTGCACTCCTATTATTTAACTAACCATTGAGATCTCTTGGACATGGGAGGCCTGGGCCTATGGTAGCCTAACGTTTTGGACTGTTGGGGGGAAAATGGACTACCCAGAAAAAAAAGGATAAGATGCAAACTCCACAAAAAAAAGATCCCATGTCCAAACCAGGAACTGAACTCAGGCCCTTCTTTCTGTGAGGCAATGGAGGCAACATGCTGCCARGTATGGCTGCATATTATGATACAACAAAGCTAAATGTTTTTCCTATACTGATTTAAACCAGACTCTAGATACTTTAATRCAATAAAAGTGCTGTTAACACAAATAAAACACACTGACACTTAAAAAAATATTTATAGAAACCTGTTGTTTTGATTCATGATTCACCAAATGTTCTGACAGGTCTGTCTAAATGATTACGAACGGCTGTCTTTATCATGATAAATAGATTTGACTTCTCCATTAAGTTGTTGCGTATGAATACTCTTCATGGTTTAAAGTTAGAAATGGAGTAAAATATTTTGAAAAACGTTAAAAGGTACAAGCAGCCTACAAAAAGCCACAACACACATATCTATATAAAACAGCTAAAACAGCATAAAGTTTGCAGATAGATTGCACAAAACCATTGGAAAAATAAATAGGAAAAATAAATATGAAAAACATATGGATGAGTGCTGACTTAGCATTAASACATAAATAATGCATTATCTCATATATTTTTCAGGAGTCTGTCTYATTTGATCATATTCAAACAACACAAACACTATTTGTTCATTTCAGTTTAATAACAGATTTAAGATTAAAACGGTGGAATATTGTCATTTTACTGCGTCCATCTTTGTTTACGAGAAAAGGCGACACTGGAGTGAAACGGTTGCCAAATCGCACATACAGTCAGCAGCAGATGCTTTTATATTAACAGAATACGAAAAAAACGCGTCTGTAGCCTATGGCTTTCCAAAACGTCTTCCTTATTTACGCTTCCTCCATATTTACCAAAGATTCTTTGGGGTAAAACAAGTCGCTTTTCATGTTTCAAAAGTGGCGCTCAGTGCGTCACGGCGCTGCGCCTGTGCCGTGCGCCTCCTCTCCCCCCCTCCGCTCTTAGACAGAAACACTGTCACCGTGTGTTTCGATGAGGCAGAGAGCCGCACTTGGGTACTTGCACTTGTCCCCCCTCCCTCCCCACACTGCCGCTGGCACTGCCGCACTGGATATGCGGAGCGATGCCGATGAAAGCGTTCTCCGAGCAGCGACGGACAGGTTTGTCTTCGGAGGAGAGATGAGTCAGAGGAGGAGGAGGAGCGGGGCGAATCAGTGAGGAAACCCGGGATCTGGTGGTCCTGTCGGCGCGGGCAAGCGGCCTGTCGGGCAGCAGCGGAAGCCGGGGGCTGGATTTGACGCGTCKTTGGTGGGGAACATGCACTGGTGAGTCGGCTGGTGCGTTGGATAACCAGCTTGTTTACGGAGACGGAGGAAAATAAGCAGCCAGACACTCGGTCGAGTAAATGATTCAGTTTCTGGATGTGCAATAACCCAAATGGCAAGCGGTGGGAATAAATAGGCTAATCACCAGAATGAAGGGCTGAGCTGAAAACAATGGGGGCTGATGATGTTCATTTATCTTTTCCCTGCTGTGAATTTTGCTTCAGGAAGTGTGATTTCCAGTGTTAAACTCCAGTCTTGCAAGCCTTGCTTTAGCTGTTTAAACAAAAGCTGAGATGAGATTTTGCWATATTTTCTTTCCCAGACATGTTTGGCTTTGACATCCCAGCTGAAAATAAGCCCTTCTAAATAAAGAGGCAAAACATGACATCTGTTTGTAGCTGCTTGTCATGGCCCAGCTTATTTTAGCTTCTAGGAGAAGACCTGACACTGAGACAAGTCTGCTGCTGCTGCATCGCTGCTCACTCTGATTCTTTTTTCTTTTTCTTTCAGAAAGCTGGATGATGAAAGGAGGAAGAGAAGGGGTAACGTGGAGTTTGTTCTTTCTGGTCCTGGATCGGTTTTAAAACAGATTGTTACAAAACAAGGTAGCCTGCATCTGCAAGAACCTAACCACCCGAATGCAACWAAACATTCCCAAATTTTAGAGCACAACTTTTATGCCAATAAAAAAAATATTCAGGAATACACACATTTTAGTAAATAACAATGAAACACACCACAAAGTTAATTGTTACAAACAGAAGCTCATTTATTGCAAACTCTGAGCTGGTATAGAGATGTTTATTTATGGTAAGTTGTTCAGGCAGTTCAAGACATTAAAAAAAGCGAAAAAATGGATGACTGAAGAGGCCATGATGAGTATGATAAAGTTTTTTTTAGTCCAACTGATCTGCATGGCCTAGAGCTGTACTTAAGACATTTGCTGCATTACAAAGTTGGGCCTCAGAAAAGTAGAAAGGGAGCATCATCCAGCAAGATGGAGCTGTATCACTTATCACCAAAAGTAAGGGCATTTGTGTTTGGTAGCTTATGTCTTTGTTGTAACAATGCTTCTTGACAATACATCTTATCTTGAGCACCTGATTGGCAGCATCTGAGGGCTCAAAACAAGTGTCAATAGCAACAATAAAATAAGCTGTTTGGCAAAGAAGATTTGGCTTTTTTATGTGCACAACTAACATACTCTACTGCTCAACCCACAAATGCATGTTCTTTACAAATGTGGCAACACTTAAAAGGGAAATTAACAGGCATCCCAGTGGTATAAAATATACTGCCAAGAAGTGTTGRTACAACAAAGAAATAATCTACCGAACAAATTTCCTTATTTTTTCTGCCGAGTTTATAAATCTGTAGCAATACACCCCAAATCAGGGGTATATTGTATTGTTCAGGCACATACAGTAGTTCAGTTCTATACCACAATCAAGTAGCTATGTTACCTCCAGTTGTTACAAAAATGCTTT